AAGCGAGAGTTGTACGGAATGTTTTGAAGGACTCGTAAGCAACATTTTACAGGGTGATAAAATGCTGCATTTCGCGTATTTCATTTTTATTTGAATACCCTTAACAAAGTGTTAAATTTGTCATTAGTTGATGGAAATGGTTTGGATGGAAGAGTAACAAGGCCGAATTGTTTACAACCGACATGGGATGACAAAATGGCGCCGAATTTGGACAAAGTTGTGGATTTACCTTGTCGATGGTTAAACAGCTATGATCTACTTGAAACGGGGGTGAATAGGGGTATACAAATCCGCCAATTTGAAGCAAAATCCGCGATCCGAGCCAAAATATTAGATAAATCCGCAATCTGCTGTATTAATAAGATCCGAAATCCGTGTAAAACATTCGCCACATCCGAAATCCGGACAATTTTTTCTGTGAAATCCGACGATCCGAAAACCTATTCACCTCCTCCCCCCCCCTGAAACCAAGTTGAAACTTGTTTAAAATGTTCTTGATGCCATTATGTCTGAGATGATTTACATTTTTGGAAGGATGTCGACGAGATCGCCGATAAACAGCGGAGTAAAGTGGAGAACTTGGCCAAATATGTCCATTTGCAGGAGGTAGGCACATTTCAAATTATTATTTCTGTCAGAAAATTTTAACTATTTTACACCAAACCAGTGATAATATATTTAAATAAGTACCAATTATGTTTCTATCAAAAAGATTTAAGGAAAAAGGCAATGTAAGTCCACTGCTGTTTATCTGAAGTTGCAAGCCACAAAATGACGTTTAACTATGATTATTGTATGGTCATTTTCTTGTGAAATATTAGCGCTAGGCATTTCACACTTACGAATGACCACCCCCAAGAGTACCATCTCTGAACCATATAAACACCTCAGAATAGCCAAAGCTTTTATGGTTTGGTAGATAGGAGTATGGCGAAAGCATCGTTTTTGGGTGTGGTCGGTTTCGGACATTTCGTCCCGGATTGGGGTTCGAGCAGCGTTACCATGGTTGACCGTCATGCTCAACTTGTCCCAAAACAGTTGAGATTATCTGTCCTAAATGAAATGCATACAAACTCATATACAGATCCTAGACTAAAGGTTTTAACTGGTGAACAATGCCTGCCACTTTAATTTGTGTGTTCGTCCGCCAATGTAATGTGAAAGATGCGGTAAAATGTATAGTTATTCCAAACACAAAAATCAACTTGTAAATTTTTCAAAAAGAACTTAGTTATTGAATCTTCAGAAAACAGTCGCTTGATGCTTCGGACATATGTATAATGTCAAGTATTTTGGTTTGGAAGATTCTGGTTATGCTACATGCAGGCGTTTCCCTACATACCTTCTGCATGACCTGTAGGTTTTGGTTGCATTTCCCGTATACGTGGAAAGTAAAATAAAGACAAAACACGAATCGTAAATTAATTAAGGAGTGCGTGTTCGAGTAACTAATTGGGTATAGGTATAGTCAGTCCTAGCTTATGTATTGTAAATAATTAATAATTTTACCTATTATTAAATTTGTGAATTGTACCCTCAGATATGTTGCTTCTTTTATTTATTTTTTATTCCAATTAGATCTGTGATCTGAGATCAAGCTGAACAAATGTGTGTAATTTTGCACACCTTCCAAGGTGTGTATTTGCAGGCTGTGTAGCAAGCGAAAAGGTGTGTTATTTTGCACAACTTGCAAGGTGTGTAAAAAGGCACGGCTTAAGGTGTGTAATTTGTTCAGGGCAAAATACACACCATATGGTGTGTAAAAATACACACCTTTTTGAAAAACACGCCTTTTAAGGTGTGTGAATTTGGCGACAATCAAAAAACGGGAAAAAAACACACCTTAAAGCGTGTTATTTACATACCTTTATCTTGCAAATGGCACACCTTTAGGTAAAATAAACACTTTTTCCGGAAAATACACACCTTAACCTGTGTAAAAAAAACACACCTTAAGGTGTGTGAATTTGGCGACAGAAGGTGTGTTGAAAAGACGTGTGTTGAAAAGAAGTGTTTAGTAGCTATGTTTTGCTTTGCGAGATTCCGGTTATTATTGCAGTCAGCTTCCCAACTCTTACTCCACACCTAAGAGGTTGCGGTGTCAAAAAAGTTTCAGTCGACATCACAGAACTATAGTACTTGAAAAGCTTAAACTATACGGCTGTCAAATATTTACGTATTGCTAGCTACATGTCAGAAACGTTATTCTAAGCCAAATGAAAATTTTAGTTATTGAAGCTAGAATTACTTGTATTTTATAGTATTACCAATGTTGTTTACAAATATTATATATGCCGTGTTTTGGCGAGCGTATACATGGATAATTTACGCATACATTGTATGTCATTATTCTAGTTTAATCATAATGCGTTTATGCACGTTTCCAGAACTACTCAAACATTAGGAACTTCGTAGTTTGGAACTGCAAGCTAAACTAGTGGAGCAATCTGGAATTTAGGGCTAGTAAACACGTTCGGAAGCAAATGCAATTATCTTTAAGTGCCTATTACGTAACTTTTGTGGAGAATATAACGCCATCGTAAACATCCGGATTAATCTCAAAGCTGTAGTATTATAAAGCGCACAGTATGCATCCTATAAATAAGAGGTAGTTATATAGAAAGCAAGTAATAATGGCTTATAAAACAACTATTTCGGATACAACGTGAGCATATGTGCTATTCCTATGCAGATAGGAACGATATTCCTGCTGAGCGATTGCTAAAAAAGCAAAAAATCTAAATCGTCAGTCTCTCTTATCTGAGAGGAAAAGTTCAGCGCAAGCAAAATTTGAAGACATGCAAGAAAATTTGTAGACCAAAGACGCTGTCAGATAGAGATCGGAGAAATTAATAAGAATAATAAAACTCTTCGTGATAAAGACCCAAATTTTACTGTTAAGCGCTTGGTTGCGCACAGCAGGCTGCTGTCACGTCATATTTCCTATAGGACATCTTATCGTGAGGTGAAGGCAGCTGGATTTGATTATTTACCTGCGCGTAAAAAGGGGGTTTCAACAAGCCGTGATCGCACGGGAAGAAAGGCATTTGCGCAACAATGCAAGAAGATTCTTTCCACAAAGCCCGGATTCTTCTGGCGAAATATTGGCTTCTATTCAGACGGGATTTCTTCTGTTTATAAGACACAGCCTCTTAGTAACGCTTTAGCCCCTAGAGGGCGTGTATGGAGACAATTTAAGACTAGAGTTATAAAAACTTTATATAATATTTATGTAGATTATTTTAATAATATTATCACAAGCATGCCTACGCGAATGTACGTTGTATTGCAGGCTGGCGGCTTTAGAATAAAATACTGAGAAAGTTACTACGACAACGTATCGTATATCGTATTTCCGTATCAACGAATCCCACACTTGTTCGCGTAATAATTTCCATATTTTCTCACATGTATATGATCGTTGTTGGGAATTTAAATGCACAGTTGCGTGAGTAAGGAATAAATTAATACTTTGGCTTCAAATATGCACGCGTTTCGTTATAAAAGACAGAGAAAATGGGTTAAAAGTAGACGATTCCCACTTTTCCATTTACAAATTATGATGTCATATTTCAATATACTATAAATAGTGGGAATCGTCGACGAAAGTCGGAATTTCATTGAATCAAATTGATTTCGCTCGAAGTTATCCACATAACCAATTCCTTTGACATAAGCACAATAAGCTAAGAGAGAAAAACAGAAGAATTGTTGGACTTAATTGCCTTTTCTACGTAAAATGTGACTGGGATTCGTGTGGGATTCGTTGACGTGTCATAAGCTAATTAGTTAGTGACGACCAGAATACTTATTTGTTAACGCCTTAATGTACGTTAAATTAAAACACATCATTACAGATCACTGTTCAACGTATAATATTAACTCAGCAAAGCACCGAGCGCAAGCCGCAATGTTTCTTTGTTCATCACGCGGAATATGTCTATGGAGCGGAAACATTCGCCAACTTACATTCATCATTTCTGTGTTCACGTGATCAATAGATCGATTGTTAATTAAATCAAGTGGGGGCGTCACACGTTGCAAGGAATGGCGTGTCTCCCTCGAGAACAACATCATTGCTCATCTTATTTTTCGGGGATGCAAAAAGGAACCGTGTCACCTTCAAAGACCTGCAAAACTCGCTCCACGCTATAAGGAATGGTTTCCCCAACCCTACATTTTAAGCCCATTTATACGTGTATGAATTTATTCCTATATCACGTTTAACTGAAATTACTTTATCATCGGCCGACCAGCCAAGTAATGGGTAAACACTTGTCCAGGTTCTTGGTAAATTTAAACTTTTCAATCAAGGCTGAACATGTAACAAAAACTTTATATTTATGATACAATATTCTGCCAGCTGCCTACAATCAGTGACAAAAGGTTTTTGGACAGTGATATAATATAGACATGTCTGCACCTTTCCAAATACTGTTCAGCATAAAACCACTATCCCTCCCTCCCCCACCTTAAACAATGTTGGGTGGCTGGCAAGGAACATTTTGCGCACGTATTTCCACACACAACATTGAACGGGGGGTGCGGGGGGTCGATTGTGTTGTAAATGTACGCTCTTTTGCTATTTTGTCCAAAGTGTTTTGTCACTGATTGTATCTAACTATAAAATTAATTTACAAAGTTTTTGAAAGAGTAAATTGATTGCGCTTCCTTAGCTTCGCGCGGAAGACTATTCCAAAGTTTACCGCCACTGTATTTAAAGCTTTCTCAAGAAATTTGCGTCTCGGTTTAGGAAGGGCCAGATCTGTGTGAGAATTTCTGAGTCACAATTAGCTTCTAAAGAATTCATCCTCATCAACAACTCTTTTAAATTTAGTGCACCAACGTCGTTGAGAATTTTATATAATACTGGAACCTTGCTCATACCTCGTCTGGAATTTAAGTTTTCCCATTTAATTTTCCCATTTAATATTTTCATTCATTTATTTTATTGTTCTTTACTGACCTACGCAATCCGTTCCATTGCCTGTGTAACCACTGTTGCAAGTGCATAGGTATGATCCTGGTGTATTAGTACATGTTGCGTCAGCGTGACACATGTTTGCTTGTGAACATTCGTCGATGCCTGAAACAGAACAATGAATTCATTCCATTTTCCAAAACAATAAGCAGGATCAGAAATTAAGAGGACTTTCCTCACTGCCAAATGGAAAATGCCCCAACAAATTTGTGGGCTAAGCAGTCTCTAAGAAGATGATGGGGAAAAACAATGGACTTACCTTAACATATTCAAATATATCAAGTAGCCTAATTAGGAAAGCGCTAAATCATTAGTAATTTAGAAATTCATATTGCCTTGTGGCAGTAAACTTTGTACAAATCGGTTACCGAGAGTAAGAAATCGAAAAGATGTTTTGTACATCTGTAAACTATTTTAAAAATTGAAATTCGCAAGATATACTGAAAAACAACAACATATATATGAAATAAAAGCTATGCAAAATCAAATACATTTTCTTCGGGCAAGCTTGTCTCGTGCATGCGCATAATATCGAAAACCGGCCACTACGTAATGGACGACGACTTTGCACACTTCCCTATGTTCTCAAATATCGGGGAGCAAATAGCTGAGTGGAATTGCTACCCTCGTCCCGGGCTCACGCCCGGAAAAGCGCTTTGCGCCGTTGGCTGGGGGAATGGAAAGTCTACCCTTTGACAACAGGTGCCGGGAAAATTGTTTCAGCATGCCCGGAAACTCGTTGGGTTTTCAGCGGGAGAAGACGATATGCCTGCTTCCACTTGGTTGATTTAGAAAAAAAACGAAGGCTTCGAAAAACAATTTTGCAACAAAAATTGGATTAACTGAGAAAACACTGTTGCGGTAATACTATCATTTCTTCTATTTCCATAATTTTCACAAGTTCTGACCTTATAAAATTTTGATGGCACAACCTATATATATGATAAAATTAAGGAAAATCCATAGCGATCGTTAGGGCACAGTATCACTCAATAAGCATATATTTATACTTTTCTCAGGAAGACGAACACATGTATAGCTACTGCAAATTTCAAGTAACATTTCATCAGTATTACATTCCAGGTCGAGATTAGTTACCATCAAAAGACACATTTTCGGCCATGTTTCAGCGAAGAATTCTTGACTGCTCATTTCTCGATTGCGGCAAGTAATCGTGGTCTTCGTTAACGTCTATTAACGTTTACACGTGCTATTTTGCATATATTTTTCGTCTACTGCAGTACCAGACACAATTTAGCGAAATCTGTTTTTTGTTGTCTTCAAAATTTTTGAAGCAAAAAAAGAAAGCGTCCTGGATAAAATTCGTCAGCGACGACATGTTCCCCTCCTTGGCCTACAACAGCAGACTTAGCCAAGCCATAAGCGGCGCGCTAACTGTCACTTTTGTACTGACCTACGCAATGCGTTCCATTGCCTGTGTAACCAGTGTTGCAATTGCATAAGTATGATCCCGGTGTATTAGTACATGTTGCGTCAGCGTGACAGATGTTTGCTTGTGAACATTCGTCGATGTCTGAAAAAGAAAAATAATTTGATTAAATTTCTCCAACACTTAAAACATGATACAGCAACATAAAACATGATCAGTTTTGTACTTCGCCATACTCTTTTACGAAATTGAAATTTCCAAAAAATACTGAAACACAGAAAGATAGATATAAAATTAAAGCTTTGCAAAATAATAAAAAACTTTTTTTCTCCCGCGGGTTTGTACTCGCGCATGCGCATAACGTGGAAAAACGTCCATCACATCATAATGGAAGACAACTTCGTACTTCGCTATGTTCTTAAGTACAGGAGTGTAAATTGCCGAGGGGGATCACTACACTCGTCCCAGGCTCCCCCTAAAAAGGCCTTCGCACACCTGATTCGTCGAAAATCTGCCCTTGACCTATAGAAGCAGGGTTAACCAAGCCGTATGGAGCTCGTCAACTGACACTGTTGGTTATAGTTACTTGTATGTGTAGTTATTATAACATTATGTGTGTATGTGCGTATATATGTATGTATGTAAAGACAACTATAAAATTAATTTACAAAGTTTATGAAAGAGTAACTTGATTGCGCTTCCTTAGCTTCGCGCGGAAGACTATTCCAAAGTTTACCGCCACTGTATTTAAAGCTTTCTCAAGAAGCTTGCGTCTCGGTTTAGGAACGGCCAGATCAGTGTGAAAATTTCTGAGTCATAATTAGTTTCTAAAGAATTCCTCCTCATCAATAACTCTTTCAAATTTAGTGCACCAAAGTCGTTATATAAGAATGTAAACTTGCTGATATAAATAGTTGTCTGGAATCTAAGCTTTCCCATTTAATTTTCCCATTTCCCCTTTAATATTTTTATTCATTTATTTTATTGTTCTTTACTGACCTACGCAATACGTTCCATTTCCTGTGTAACCAGTGTTGCAAGTACATAGGTATGATCCTGGTGAATTAGTACATGTTGCGTCAGCGTGACACATGTTTGCTTGTGAACATTCGTCGATATCTGAAAAAGAAGAATGAGTCCAATTTCCCAAAACAATAAGCATGATCAAAAATTAAGAGGACTTTCCTCACTGCCAAACGGAAAAAGTCCCAACATATTTGTGGGTTAAGCGTCTCTGAGAAAAGAATGAAAAAACCCCAACGAACTCTACCCCCAACATATTCAAATATATGAAGAAAGTAGAGAAGGGCTAAATCATTTGTAATTTAGGAATTGATATTGCCTCGTGGCAGTAACCTATGCCCAAATCAGTTACAGAGAGTAAGGAATCGAAAAGATTTTTTTACATCTGTAAACTATTTTACGAAATTAAAATTCGCAAGATATACTGAAAAACAGCAACATAGACATAAAATAAAGCTTAAGAACAGAAGTGTAAATTGTCGACCGGAATTACTACACTCGTCCTAGGATCCCACTAAAAACGCGCTTCGCGCCCCTGGCTCGTAGAAAATCTGCCTTTGACCTATAGAAGCAGGTTTAACCAAGTCGTAAGGTGCTCGCCGGGCCAACCGACACTCTTAGTTATAGTTACTTGGATGTGTAGCCATTACAACATTATGTGTGTATGTGCGCATGTATGTATTTATGTATGCAAAGCTTTATATAATGACGATAGCCTTCTCAAGAGCAATAGTTCATTTCCACAAGGCGTGTCACTAGCACAAGTAAAAGTTAGTTACAAAGATATAGCTTTTTACAAGAGATTTTAAAAAATATTCAAATAAATTTGTGTGATTCGGTCGTATATTAAGAACTATAGTTGTTTCTATCTAACAATGAAATTAATTTACAAAGTTTTTGAAAGAGTAAGTTGATTGCGCTTCCTTAGCTGTGGCGGAAGACTGTTCCAAAGTTTACCGCCACTGTACTTAAGGCTTTTTCAAGAAACTTGCGTCTCGGTTTAGGAAGGGCGAGATCAGTGTGAGAATTTCTGAGTCACCATTAGTTTCTAAAGAATTCCTCCTCATCAATAACTCTTTCAAATTTGGTGCACAAAAGTCGTTATATAAGAATGTAACCTTGCTGATAAAAAGTCGTCTGGAATCTAAGCTTTCCCATTTAATTTTCCCCATTTCCCCTTTAATATTTTTATTCATTTATTTTATTGTTCTTTACTGACCTACGCAATACGTTCCATTGCCTGTGTAACCAGTGTTGCAAGTGCATAGGTATGATCCTGGTGTATTAGTACATGTTGCGTCAGCGTGACACATGTTTGCTTGTGAACATTCGTCGATGTCTGAAAAAGAAGAATGAATTAAATTTCCCAAAACAATAGGCATGATTAAAAATTAAGAGGACTTTCCTCACTGCCAAACGGAAAAAGCCACAACATATTTGTGGGTTAAGCGTCTCTGAGAAAAGGATAAAAAAAACCAATGAACTCTACCCCAACATATTCAAACATATCAAGTAATTAGGGAAGGGCTAAATCATTAGTAATTTAGGAATTGATATTGCCTCGTGGCAGTAACCTATGCCCAAATCAGTTACAGAGAGTAAGAAATCGAAAAGATGTTTTTTACATCTGTAAACTATTTTAAATTGAAATTCGCAAGATATACTGAAAAACAGCAACATAGACATAAAATAAAAGCTTAAGTACAGGAGTGTAAATCGTCGAGCGGAATTACTACACTCGTCCTAGGATCCCACTAAAAAGGCGCTTCGCGTCCCTAGCTCGTCGAAAATCTGCCCTTGACCTATAGAAACAGGCTTAACCAAGCCGTAAGGTGCTCGCCAACCGACACTCTTGGTTATAGTTACTTGTATCTGTAGTTATTACAACATTCTGTGTGTTTGTGCGTATGTATGTATGTATGTATGTATGTATGTATGTAGGTATGTGAATCTTTATATAATGACGCTAGCCTTGTCAAGAGCAATAGTTCATTTCCACAAGGGGTGTCACTAGCACAAGTAAAAGTTAGTTACAAACAAGCCCGTAGCTGGCTCTCAATTTCCGGAGGAGCACTGCAGAAAGAATGTAACAGAGGGGTTGGGATGATTCTGACTCGACCCCCCCCCCCCCGACAACTTAATTTTTAGGTAAAAAAATTTTCCATACGAGTACGTTGCAACTACTTAGCCCCCCCCCCAAAATAACAACATTAATAGCTATTAGTTCTGCAAAACGTCTGCAGGGGATAACCCCCCAGTGTAAGATATCTGGAGGGGCTCGAGCTCCAAAGCCTTCCCCCCCATACTTTACGCCTTTGAGGTTATTTATTTTAGGCCACAAGCAATCTATTTTCGTACAAAAATGAAGTATGACAATGAGCCTCAAGTATTAATCTTCTACGGTCTCTGTAGTACTGTATATCATGGCAAAAATGTGGAATAAGGGCGGGCATAATTTCAATTTTATTATCGAGTGAGGGGGGGCACTGCCCCCCAGGCCCCCCCTCAGCTACGGGCCTGGTTACAAAGATATATAGCTTTTTACAAGAGATTTTAAAAAATATTCAATTAAATTGGAGTGATTCGGGGGTATATTAAAAACTATAGTTGCTTCTATCTAACTATGAAATTAGTTTACATAGTTTTTGAAAGAGTAAATTGATTGCGCTTCGAACCTTAGCGGCGGGCGGAAGACTATTCCAAAGTTTACCGCCACTGTACTTAAAGCTTTTTCAAGAAACTTGGATTTCGGTTTAGGAAGGACCAAATCAGTGTGAGAATTTCTGAGTCACAATTAGTTTCTAAAGAATTCCTCTTCATCAATAACGCTTTCAAATTTGGTGCACCAAAGTCGTTATATAAGAATGTAACCTTGCTCATACCTCGTCGTCTGGAATCTAAGTTTTCCCATTTAATTTTCCCATTTCCCGTTTAATATTTTCATTAATTTATTTTATTGTTCTTTACTGACCTACGCAATACGTTCCATTGCCTGTGTAACCAGTGTTGCAAGTGCATAGGTATGATCCTGCTGTATTAGTACATGTTGCGTCAGCGTGACACATGTTTGCTTGTGAACATTCGTCAATGTCTGAAAAAGAAGAATGAATTCAATTTTCCAAAACAATAAGCATGATCAGAAATTTAGAGGACTTTCCTCACTGCCAAACGGAAAAAGCCCCAACATATTTGTGGGTTAAGCGACTCTGAGAAAATGATGAAAAAAAACAAAGAACTTTACCCAACATATTCAAATATATCAAGTAATTAGGAAAGGGCTAAGTCATCAGTAATTCAGGAATTGATATTGCCTTGTGGCAGAAACCTATGCCCAAATCAGTTACAGAGAGTAAGAAATCGAAAAGACGTTTTTTTACATCTGTAAACTATTTTACGAAATTAAAATTCGCAAGATATACTGAAAAACAGCAACATAGACATAAAATAAAGCTTAAGAACAGAAGTGTAAATTGTCGACCGGAATTACTACACTCGTCCTAGGATCCCACTAAAAACGCGCTTCGCGCCCCTGGCTCGTAGAAAATCTGCCTTTGACCTATAGAAGCAGGTTTAACCAAGTCGTAAGGTGCTCGCCGGGCCAACCGACA